ACCAAGGGAAATACAGGCTGGAGATTGGGAAAAGCTTTTACAGAAAGGGTGATAAAGTTCTGGAATGGCTGCCCAGGGAGGTGGTGGAGTCCCCATCCCTGGGTGTGTTTAACAAAGCCTGGATGTGGCACTGGGTGCCAGGGTTTGGGTGAGGGGTTGGGGCTGGGTTGGACTCGATGATCTTGAAGGTCTCTCCCAACCTGGGCATTCTTTAATTCTGTGAATTCTGTAAACTCTTCCAGTCCCACCCCTGCCTGTTGCTATAGGACACGAACAACACAACACACACCACTGCTCTCAAGGCAAAGAAAAGGGAAGTTTATTTTCTAACTCCAACATTTACAGTTTTTCAAAAGTGACAATGGATTGGAGGGTGACAGTGCCACCTCTCCAATGACACTGGACAAACCAACAGTCTATGAAATTTCTCTTCTTCCATAAAAGAATGCAAAACAATAAGTTATTTACAGAAAGTGTGGGAGAAAGTTTGCTACAAGAATGTAAACATCAGAAGGTTTAGAAAATCTTAAAAAATCAGGGCGATGCCTGCCCACACTTTCCACTGTCCCAGGTTGCTCCAAGCCCTGTCGAGCCTGGCCTTGGACACTTCCAGGGATGGGGCAGCCACAGCTCCTCTGTGTCCTGCATGTGGAGGACACTCAACAGTCCCCTTAGGCAGGGAAGGAGTTTCCTGGGAGGGCTCTGGAGCCAACACAAATCCACACAAGGTGTCCACAAGCTCAGCTTTTACAGGGTTACCTCCACTCCTCTGTCAGAGCCTTATCTCAGCAGAGGCAGCTCATCCTGGGGCCTCCAGTGCTGCCCTTCCCAGCCAGGGCCATCCCCAAACTCCCTTTCATTGCCTGGTTAATCCATCAGGGTTTGTTTTCCCAGCAGCAGATGTTTCCCCAGCCTTCAACAGGGATCCCCCAAAACCAAAACTGACTTTTCCAGGACAGCAAACCAGGCCAGTGTCCAGCCCCAGCACAGAGCAGCTCCAAGGTGCAGGTGGCACAGGCTGCCCAGGCCTCCTGTGATCCTGGCTACAAAAAAGGAGCAGAACCAAAATGCTCATTTTTCTGCTCTTCCTCAGTTTGGTAGTAGTTTTACCATACAAGTAACCAGGCTCAGAGTCACAAAATACAGGACCAAAAACTGAGCTCCATCCATCCTTTCTTTTGACCCTGTTTATGATAAAGTAGGACAGTGAAACCCTCCCCTAACTTTCATACATGGAAATTGCTGCCAGCTCTGTGACCCTCTAATGGTCCTGATCCAAATAAACTTCAGTTTAGTTTATTAGTTTAGTTACTATTTAGTTTAGTTACTTTTTTCCATAGTAACTAAATGGCAGTTGTTGCTCTACAGCTTCCTTCACCTCTTGCCAGTTTTAAAAAATAAATCTGAATTAATTTTGGGTGCTGGTGTAAAGATGGCACTACATGGCCCAAGTAAGGCCCTGCCCAGATGGATCGGATAAACTCCTTGACTCCAAACCCAGCTGAAGAGCCTTTCATTCAAATCCACAGGTATATTTCATGCCAGGCTGCTCTCAATCCTTGAGAAAAAATCCCCAAACCAACCCCCAACCCTCCAACCAACCAGCACACAGCAGGAGCTCAGTCATTTTACTGCAAGTTTATGATCTCAACACAACAGAAAAGGGCCATGATCTTTTGTTTTGCAATAGGTTATCTATTACAGCTTGTTTTAACTAAAACCAACACTCAGCACTCTCTGTCCCAAGCTACTGGTAGGACAGCTGCCCTTAAGGAAGTGTCCAGAGGAATGCAGAACACTGCAGATTTTCCTGTTCAGAGAAGTAGCACTGCCACCTACTTGGGAAAGCCAAAATCCATAAGCAGGTCACCACTTCCAAGGAAATATTTCTCTGGGTTACAAAGAACAGAGAGAGATCACTGAGGTCACTTTTTTCCCTGCCTTGCCTCAGTGTTCAGTTTTTACTCAGACTTCAGCTTGCTGGAGGTAATTTCTGTGGGAGGCAGCATTCAGTTATTGCAGATCACAGGCATTATGAAAACTGCTGTGTACCAGGAGCTGCTCCAAAGGCCAGGCAGGATCCAGACCCTGTTCCCTGTTTTGATGGAATGGCTCAAAGCAGACCTGGTGTAAAGGGAGCAGCAGCTCATGCACAGCAGCAGCCAGCACTGAGTCACAGGGCAGCTGGGACACCCAGGGCTGCAGAGCCCAGCAGGCATTTCTGACCTTCAGGGTCACGGCCACCGCCTGGAAAATCAGACACAGCCTGAAAATGCATGTCCAGGTCTGAAAATGCACAGAGAAAGAAAACACCAAACATGCAGCTCACCCTGGCTGAGTCCCCACACAACCACCCTTGCTGGGGCTCTGAAAGCCACAAGCGCCCAAGTCAACAACTACATTTTTGTTGTTGTTGTTTGTGCTTGTTTGCTTTTTTTCCTGAAGAAAAAATAACCATCAAAATAACCCCTTGAGCATTCTGGAGTAATCATGTGGGGGTTTTTGTCATTAATGGCATCAATAAAAAACCACTAAAGGAAAACAGCAGATCAAACTGGCTGCAGAGCTGTGACAGTGGGAGACCTCCCATGGGTGGGCTCAATGGCCTTCCTGAGCCATGAAAATTCTGTCTGGAGCAGAGAGAAAGTGGCAGGAAAACACTTCAACACAAGAGCCAATTGTGAGCACATGCCCTTGTGCCAAATCCTTGTTCAGAGAAAGCAACAAACAAAAACAGTCCTAGGAAGGTTCTGGTTTTTGAAGAAAAACTCAATCAGAGAAGAAAAACACAGAAGACAAAACCAGTTACTGGTGACACTTTTTAATTTCTTTTGGTCAGATTTTTTTGAAGTAAAACCAACAGAGTAAGACAGAACTAGAGGACAGGCAGTCATATTTACAGCCACTCAAAACTAAGAGTGTAAAAGCAGAGCTCAGTGGTGAAAGAAGCACAGAAGCATACAAAGAAAGGGATTTTTGGTAATTATTAGAATTTTATTATATTATCTTAGCTATTAAAAGAATCTGTTGCATTTTTTGCTGCCCAATTCCAACTCACCAGCTCCCACTCAAAATGACTTGTGATACAAAAAGCAACATTTTTTCTGTTTGTAGACAACAAAACCACCTGCTTTAATTTCCCCAAACCTTACTGAAGAGTCACAGCACAGTTAACACTAATGCTCTATCTTTTACCATTAAATAAAAAATAAAACAGGGAAAATAAAACAGGCAAAGAGAATAAACCAGACTGAGTCAGTGTAATCATTCAGTTGGATTCTGGATGACAATCAGGAAATAGTCTTTATCTGGAGAGGGAAAAAAAAAGAAAATTATTCTTTCACTGCTGGTATTTGTTCACAGAAACAGTAAATTCCAACATTTTTCACATCTCTCTGATGTGCTGTGGGAACTCCAGAGCCCTGACATTCATTCTCAATGAGCAAAACAAGCTCCAAGTGTCAGGTCATTTATTTTATGGGTTTTACTGAGAAAAACTCTCAGCTTTATAAACTCCACATTCCCAAGGCAGCTGAATTTAACCCAGTTTGTGCCAGGAAACTCAGGAACTGGCATGTGCCACACTGGTGCATGGTGGCCACTGCCCTTCTCTCACAGGCACACTGGGGCTGCAGCTGTTTTTGCTGGAGCAATGCTCATTCGTCTTTCCATCCTTCCTGTGGAAATCTGAGGCTGCCTCAGCATGAACCAGAGCCTGTGTTAAGATCTGCCCTGCCCCAAGCCTGCCATGGGGAGCTGCCATCCTCTGCTTGGCACGCAGGGACAGGGCTGAATTCCTGCCACATGAGCGACCTGCACTCATCCTGCTGCTTCCCAGCTTGGAATTCAACCCAACACTGAGGATGTTTCCTGAAAAGCAGGTTGCTGCTGCTATATACCATGACTCTGATTGCAGCTACAGTGTGCTCTAATATTTTTTCCAGAACTGGAAAGTCAGGACTGTCTTGTTTTATCACTCAGTCCACAGTTCTGAATGGAAATACCTCCCAGAATGTATTTCTTTCCAAATCCTAGGGTTTTATACTGAAAAATAAAGCATGAGAGGGCGCAGCACCCGCTCAAGCATTATCTAATACTTTCTACTTTGATCTACACAAAAAGAGGGAAGGGATTTGCCACATTCAAACACGACAAAGGAAACTTAGGTCAATGGTAAAGCTTTCAACTCTCCAGAAAGCAGAGCAGCTTCTTGGAGAGAAGGGATTATCCAATGTGAACACAAGCAGCAGGCAGACTCCTTGCAGGCTGACAGTGTCAGTTTTAAGTGAGAACCATCCTGCTGGATTCCCAGAGCGCTGCTCTCCCCCCGCCCTCTCCTACCTGGAGCAACCATGATTTCGTTTTTCTTGGAGCGGATGCGCAGGAAGGTGAGGTCGTTCTGGGGGTCGATGTCGCGCACGGTGCTTCGGGCCTTCATGATGAAGCTGTGCATGAGCCCGGCGTACTGGATGGTGGTGGCGTTGTCTATGGTGCTCTTGATGGGAATCCCTGCAGCACAGGGACAGCAAGGCTCAGGGACAAACCTCCAGAACCAGCCCTGTGCTGGGCACCAGTGGTGCCACTGCACCCGCGGTCAGGAGTGTCCTCTTTAAAGGCAAGAGAAAAACGTGAAGAAAAACAAAATAGGAAAAAGCTGAAATGTGGGACCACAGGTGTAGGTGGGAACTGTTTACCTCAAATAGCACTAGTGCTTTACTTTTTAACTTTGAGAGTTAAAAACAGAAATAAAATAAACAACAATAATCATCTGTAAAGGAGAGAAGAAATACCAATATTGGCAGTTTCTTCTCCTGACTGGGGACACGTTTTTTACTACAGAAAGGATCCCTTACACCAGTTAAATGATATTGAGCTACACCAGGCTGGGATCAGTGATTATGGAGGACATCAGCAGCTGCATCACACAGCTCCAGCATTCAGCCCCTAAGAGGGGTGCAGTCCTGGCAGGTCCCTGGTTCAGTGATAACCAGCCTGGAGGGCAGACACACTGTTCAGCCAGAGCTTTACAGAGCTCCCTTACACTTCAGCCACCCATTAGATGTGTTTTCCCTCCAAAAGCCAGTCAAACCCCAGCTCCTGGGTCAGAACAAGTACCAAATTCTGCAGGGCAGAACCAGGTGTCTGTTCCAGTACCTGCAGCTGCAGCACAGAGAGCACAAACCACTCAACCATCATAGAAAAGCAGTGAGCAGGAGCCAGGCTGCATGATGTGATCCTCAGTATATTCACATGTAGCTGCTGTCATCTTTTCTAAGGATTACTTCTAGGAAACACTCAATTTTTGGGCTGCTCACAGTGTATTGAGGATGCTCTGAAGAAGTTGGGTCTGTTGAACTCTTCAGAGACTCCACAAAGAGACAGCTTGCTGATGAGTTCCACAAGCACTAGACAGTGCTGAAGACCTGGAGCCTGCCAGGCCTGCAGGGTTCTGGACAGGCCCAGCAGCAAGATTTCCATCTTGTGAGAGCCTCAGTGCTACTGATAAAAGTTTTTACAGACTCAGTTTCAAACACTGCCATAATTCAAATGTTACAACGCTTTTGCAAATTATTTTATTTCCTAAAATAATAATGTGAGCTTCCAGAAACTGGAAACCAATTTTCTTTTGCAGCCTGACTACTGTCTGCCTCCTTAGACTGCAGGAAAACCTCTCCCAAAGCCAAACTCTAAGCTAAGTGCAAGTGGTACAAGCAGCACCCTCAAAGGGCATGGCTGGAGTGAGAGATAGGTCAGGAAAGTGAGGCTGACACGGCACCTTCAGAATTCACCACGATGATTCCCTGCACGCCCTTCTGGCTCTGGATTCGCTTCAGAGTCTCCTCCACCTCAGCCTGCAAGACAAAGCACAAATCAAGGCAGGGTTACAGAGTTAAGCTGCTCCTCGCCTCCCACCAACGCTTTGGGATAACGTGGCTGAACACAAAGCTGCACGGGGATGATTAAAAAGCCACTGCCTGCACTGGTTTATACAGCCAAGTGTCTGTGCTTGGGTGCTACCTTTTCTGCATGACCTTTCCAGCTATTTTCCATCTGCCTTTTCACTCATTTGTGATTATCATCCTGGAACTCCCCTCTCTCCTCCTCCCCAAGCCTCCTGCTGAAGGCGTGCAGCTGGAAGCTGCAGTCACACTGCTACAATTTAGGTGTCAAACAAAAATCATCTTTGAAAATGGACGTGGAATTTATGAAAAAAGTAGGAAAAAGATAAATTGTGGGTGCAAGATGACCTTCCCTTTTAGCAACTGAATGCCAAAAGCAATTACAAATAAGAGAAGTGAGGAGAAAAACAATGGATGAACACTCCTGGTTTGTAATTCTGATTTGTGCTGGGATGGCTGCAAGGCTGTAACCACTGCCAATGATTTACACCTTAAAAAAGGAAAAATGTAAACACAGGCCAAGGCAATAGTCCTTTGTCTGCTCTATAAAAACCATCAAAGGAGGTTTCAGTACCTTCTGTACAACTTTCCTGCCACAAGACACCCATCTAAATGTAACTGTGGTGTCTGTAGTAGGGTGAGAAACCCTCACACCTGAGCTGATTTCCACAGCTGGATGAGTATTTGGCATTTTTTATTCCCATCAAAGGAAACAGAACTGGTTTAGGAAGGGAGACCAGAATCACCTGAACCAGGACAGGTGAGACCCACAAGGGCCATTGGCCAAGGCTCTGTTCCCTGCACACCCTGAGCCCTCTCCACTTCCTGCACAGCAAACGGGCACAAGGATCTCACACCCCTGTTCCCTGGGAACAAACCTCATCCAACAACCAACACAACACAGCAAACACCAGCTCAGCCCCAGCACTTTGCTCAGGGCGCTGTTGGTAACACAGCCCGTGGCTCATAAGAGATGGGAGCCCCCAGGCTGGTCTTTATGAAGCAGAAGTGTTTCTGTGTGACCCAGCACAGAAAAATTCAAGTATTTTCAACAGAACTCTTGATTGTTTCTGAATGCTGGACTGTTCTCAAATGGAAGACAAGGGAAATTAAACAAAGAATGAAACAAAAGGGTGTACAAATGCTGGGAAAATATAGTGGAAAAATGTTAAATCTATTAAGAAATTAAGATCTGATTTCCTGCCTTCTTACTAGCACTATTTAAGTCCTGATTAAATACTTTCCTTCACAGGACCTTAACAAACCTTTTCAGATGCAAAGCAGCATCCATAAAGAAGGATAACAGTTCTTAACTTCCTCTTAACACCTTCAGCTGATCTAACTCACAGATGGGTGATCTGCTCTGACAGTTCACTGCTGCTGATCAGGGAGGGTCCTGCTCCTCCAATTCCTCCTCAAGCCAGTGCAGCTCACCAGACCAACAGAAATAGTACTGAGAACAAAATCACATATTTAATTCATGAAACACACAAACCCCACTTTAATGAAGGGCTGGATGACTGCAAGAGACAGCACATGGAGGAGGAGAGATGCACTCTAGAAAAGGAGAATAAACACTCCCTCAACACCATTTTGCTGCTAAATATCCTTTGCTATATGTAAAACAGCAGCCTGCTTTCATCTGGAATAACTGAACTGCTAGGTTTGCCTAAAAAAATACATCTTATTAGATAAATTCAATTTTCCCTCTGGAACTTTGGTCAGCATTTATTCCTTTACAAATTTTGATATACATTTGATCCCCGATTTCATCAACATGCAAAAGCCAGCAACACGTCTGAGCAGGGAGAAGCCTCCAATACAATCACAACAGAACAAATACAGCCCCGGTTATTAAACACCCAAACCCAGTCTCTTTTTCCTGACTGCTCCCAGCTTTGGGGCAGTGCCCTGGCAGCCGTAGGAAATGCAGGTTTCGCAGTGAGCGTTCCCCGGCACGGGGCCGGGCTG